CTAGGAATATTAAAAATGACAAAATCTCAGACAGGAATGGCTGAGAAGTGGCAGGATGTCCAACAGTCTGTGAGGGTGGGCAGCTTCTCTAATCAAAAAGGGAAGCACTTTCCCAGGGAGTCAGATGGTTGGAGCTGGGGATGTGGCTTTGGATGGCTGAAATCTTTGTAAGGGAACTTTTGTTTTTAAGACTGTTTCTTGTCAAGTCTATACATTCAGGAAACTAGGACTTATCACTCTCAAAGACTTTGCTGCCACGTTTTGCAAATTAGCAGGGACATGGCAAGAATAAGTAGGTAGGACAGTTTTGGGTCAAGAGCTATACAATTATGACCTAGTCTTAAAAAGAAAACCCTTGAAAACAAAGAATTTTTAGAATGAATGATACTTAAAAAATGCAGAAAATACACTATGTTATTTTCTTGTAAGAATATTTAAAAATACAATTCAAGAAATTTTGAATTAAAGACCAAGAATTATGGGAAAATATTACAATACTGAGGACAGAAAAAAATAATTAACATATATTAAGTGCCTGTCCTTGTGCTTTGCATATGTTGTTATTTTAAGCTTCACTAGGATCCTAATAAGATAGGTAGGGCCAATCATATTTTTCAAATGAGAAAATAGGCTTAATATTAGCCAAGTAGTACCCTAATAATTATTTGCTCATCTCACTCTAATATATTTATATAATAGAGATGCTCAGAAGTGACACAGAAAAAGTTAACTTTATTTTAAAATATAATTAAAATTAAAATTTAATTTTTTAAATTACTTTATTGTTGTTCAATTACAGGTGTTTGCATTTTCCCACCACCACTCCCCCCCCACCCCAGCCAAACCCATCTCCCTCCCCTTGCTTCCACCCTCCCCCTTGATTTTGTCCATGTGTCCTTTATAGTAGTTCCTGAAAACCCTTCTCCCCACTGTCCCCTGCCCCGTCCCTTCTGGCTATTGTTAGATTGTTCTTAATTTCAATGTCTCTGGTTGTATTTTGTTTGCTTTTTTATTTTGTTGATTATGTTCCAGTTAAAGGTGAGATCATATGGTATTTGTCCCTCACTGCCTGGCTTGTTTCACTTAGCATAATGCTCTCCAGTTTCATCCACACTTGGTATTAAGATTTAATACAAACACTGGAAATGTATGTTATCTAAGAAAGCCTTTTGGCATTTGACATTTAGTAAAAAAAATTAATCTTTCAAAAGTTAACTATATATCTTATTACCCAAAGTGAAAGTTTGTCTCATAGTGTTCTTGACAATTAAAAATGATTATATATATATTTATGTGTGTATATATACATATATATATATATATCCCTTCACATTCTTTCTTCCAGCCCTCTGTCCCCCCTCCCCTCTGACAGCTGTCAGTCTGTTCCATGTTATCCACGCCTCTGTTTCTCTCATGTTCCGTCAGTTTGTTCATTAGATTCCACATATAAGTGAGATCATATGGTGTTTGTCTTCCTCTGACTGCCTTATTTCACTTAGCATAATAGTATGCAGGTCCATCCATGCTATTGTAAAAGGTAAGATTTCCTTCTTTTTATGGCCAAGTAGTATTCCATTGTGTAAATGTACCACAGCTTTTTTATCTATTCATCTATTGATGGGCACTTGGGCTGTTTTCAAACCTTACCATCATACTTTCATTTTTAGTTCTCTCCACCTGTATCCTGGATAATTTACTTATTCTGTCAAGGTGTTTTTCTATTGCACGAAGTCCTTATTAGCAATGAAACACCAATCCAAAGAACCTCTGCACCCCAATGTTAATAGCAGCACAATTTACAATAGGCAAGTGCTGGCAGAAACCTAAAGCTTCATCCATAAATGAGTGGATCAAAAAACTTTGGTACATTTACACAATGGAATACTACACAGCAGAAAGAAAGAAGGATCTCCTACCCTTTATGACAGCATGGATGGAACTGGAGAGCACTATGCTAAATGAAATAAGTCAGGTGGTGAAAGACAAATACCATATGATTTCACATATAAAGTGGAACCTAATCAAGCAAAATATAGCCAGAGACATTGAAATAAAGGGCAAACTGACAGTATCCAAAGGGGTGTGGGGAGGTGGATAATGAGGGAAAGAAGGGGAAGGGTCATCAAGGAACATGTATAAAGGACACATGGACAAAGTCAAAGAAGGGAATGGTTAAGGGTGGGAGGTGGCGGTGGGGGAAAGTAGTAGGGGGGAAATGGAGACAACTGTACGTGAACAACAATTAAAAAAAAGAAAAAAATAATAATACTGTTATCATGTCTGCAGATTCTGTCCCAGATGGATTTTATTTTCTCTTGTATGTTTTCTTAATTTTTAAAGAGAGTTTGTCTTTAGAGGTGCTTGTTTATTTTCCTGGGAGAATCCCGTGGGAGTGTGTTGGGTCACGTTCCGCAGAACCAGACACTTGAGATGAGGTTTTGGTGGTGGTGCTTATTAAGGAAGCGTTCCAGGAAAACTGGCAAAGGGGGTGGGGGTGGGACAGAGAAGAGGAGAAATCCCAACATGTGGATGATTTCAGATAAAGTCCCACCAAAAATGATCTCAGGCTGATGCTGCAGAGGCCTCTGGGGTTTCAAAGTTATGCCACAGAGTTGCAACTGAGGCTAGAGAGCTATGAAAATTGTGTGGGTAGCAGATGTGTTTTAGAGGGCAAGTTTTTGAAAAAGGAGGCCCAGTAGGTGCTGGATAGGAAAGCACACCAAAGGAGGGACCCCACCCTACCCCGCCACCCCAAGAAAGAATGAAAATAGATCCGGGGATCTGGGTGAAGCACAGACTCTGACATCTGAGGACCATTATTTATGTTTGGTTCTAAATCTGGGGATTTTCTCATACTATGTGGGTTTCCATTCTGAAAAATACCAGGCCAAAGGAGCTAATTTCTCATTTAAAAATTGTTTTCACCCAAAGTGCATGCCATGAGGAGCTTGCCTGTCAGCTCCCTGGGTGGCTGAGCCATTTTTCCCCTTAGTTCCTCTTTACATGATGGGAATAAGTCCTCTATGAAAGGCCTTTAAGCAAGGTTTCCTTTCAAACCCCTAATCTGTTCTATGTAAGAATTAAAATTCAGTCTAGGCATTAGCTGATTGAATTATCTCCCATCGCACCTTCTATGGCTGCACACATTTGCACGCAAGTCTGGTTGAAGACTTTGGGCTGCGTCTTCGAAAGGGCTCTTCTTGCTCCTGCTTTAGTTTTCTGCTTATACAGTCTTTCAATTTGGGATCTTCTATCTCTTCTCTCTTTCAGATGAGTTTTGTGTGGGAAGAATTTTGAATGTGAACTGAAAGTAAGATTCTTGCCCTTCCAGTCTCTGTCTGGACACCAGTAGTCTTTGAGTGAACCCTACATTGTCCCTTAAGATGAGTGATGGAGAAAAGCAGGAGGGAGGGTACAGAGAAAGCTGTGACATCAAAGCGTTCCAGAAATGAAAGTGTGGAAAAGTTGATATCCTCAAGAGGGGTAAACAGGAAGAACACGCCACCACCATGACCAGAAGGCGTGATGAGCGTGTTTGTGTGCTCTGTGGCCTACATACGTATTTGATTTCTGTAGCATGAACAGAATTGGTAGGAAATCCTCTCTTTTATACTCTTTTCTTAGAAAATAGTATGAGATTTTCGACATAGCCAGAGAAACAACTGAAATGCAACCTTCCTCATTGTTCTTCCAGCCTCCGAAACAGAAAAATCCCCGTGTGCTGAGTGTATGATAGGAACTGAGACTGGAGTCTGAAGTTAGGATTTTTTTCCTTTAGTACTTTGTGAAAAGTACTGACATAATACTGCCCCTCCTAACATGCCTTATAAGGTAACAGCCCAAATGAAGATGTAAAAGAAGCATTTAAGCTTCCAGCAAAGACAGTTTTTGGCAAACACTTCAAATACAAACTGTAGGACTGATACTGAACCCTTTAAGCTATAGTTCCAAAGTGTCAAGCATTATTTTGACTCTCTCAGATGCAAGTATGTGTACTGAAAACATAGGATGATATTAATGTGACAGATAGAAGTCAGATAGAACATTCAAGACTATTTATGAGGATTGTTGTATGCCCACTCTGCCCAGTTTGACCAACAGGCTTGAAAAAACCATGGTCATGTGGGGCACGCCATTCTGTCAGGAAGAGTTTGAGCACGTTTATAAAACTCTAGACAGAAAAAGATATTGTTAAGAATAGCTCTAGTCACACTGTTGATGTAGGTGATCGTTGTGTTCAGGTTCTTACAGAGATTGTACTATGAAAATGATCAACTACTCAGATTCTGATATTAGTTTTACATTCCCTAGGAGCTGAAGGAAACTCTTAAGGAAATGTAGCAAGTATCTCAGCTTCCATCCAAAGATAGAAGAGTTTCTGCCTATATCTGGAAGACTGGGAGTTTTCCTACAAATTTCTCCTAAGCTAGGAGGGGGTAGAAGTACAGAAGTTTGGTCAAGTCCAATATGTCACTGTTAGAAGGGAGTGTATTTGCATTTGCCACTTCGATTATCAATCCACCTGGCCACCCTCAGCCCAGAGTAAAAGACCTGAAATGAAAAATAAGAAAAATCTCAAGAGACCCTGCATCTTCCTGGAAGTGCTGGCATTGGTGACACAAGAAGAGAATCTCAGCGATGTTGACAACAGCTGCATTGGTCATATGGGTAACGATAAAGTACTGACTCCAGTGCCTTCTATTCTCTGGATGTAAAACATCAGAACACGACCAGAGACGAGAATCCTCAGTCTTGGGCTACTTGGCGTCTGCAGGGGTCTTGCCTCTGGGCAGTGGTAGTGCCAGTGGGTAACAACGGCACAACTGCCAATCTGAATTTAGGCGCTTTTGGACCCGTTTTCTCAGTGATCTGGATTAGGAGATAAGAAAAATGGTAGGTTACTCCATGGCAGTCAGCAGAATGCTGTTAGAACTTGTGTGAGAGACTGGATATTCTTAAATTTATTTGGGAAGATCTGGGGGTCATATTTGTTTTTCTTTTCATTTATGAAATGCTTCATGAATTTGTGTGTCATCCTTGTGCAGGGGTCATGCTCACCTTCTTTGTATTGTTTCAATTTTAGTACATGTGCTGCCGAAGCGAGCCCTGTGGGTTATGTATTTTGAGGAGTAAGCCAACAACTTGTCCATCACAAACACATACTTCAAACAACTGAACAGATGATTGTGTACATGGTCATAACCAGATGACCAATACAGAAATCAAATAGACTGTGTAATTGGAAGCAGGAGATGGAGAAGCTGTATTCTCTCTGCCAAAACAAGAGCAGGAGCAGATTGTGGTACTGACCACAAACAGCTAATATCAAATATTGGAGTAAATCCGAAGAGCGCTAAAAGAATTATAGTGCCAAAATATAACATAATAACATTCCTAATGGATTTAAATTCCACATAAAACACAGATTTGCACTGTTAAATGTAATTGACCGAGAACCAGAAAAACTGTGGACTGAGCTACAAATGTTATTAGAGATGAATGCAAAAAGGCAGTGCTGGGTGTAAAAAAAAAGGGAAGGAAAATTAAAATGGATGACACAAGAAACGCTGAACATTGTTAAAGACAGATGAGAGGGAAAGTAGAGGTTATAATCCTGAACATAGTTTTTCAATGATTATCACATAGAGACAAAGAGAACTATTACAACAGTCAATGCAAGGAGATAGAAGAAAACAACAAAAAGGGGAAAACAAGAGATCTCTACAAGGAGATTCAAGAAATAAAAGGGAAATTCAAGCCTGGACTAGGAATGCTGAACAACCACCAAGGAAGCATGTTATCTGAACAGGAGAAAATGGAAAGAAAGTATAAACAATGCACTGAAAATCAATACAGAAGAAACAAAAGAATGGCAGATATGTTTGAAGTTTTCTATGAGGAGGGATGTATAATTCTAGGAAGCTTCTCTAAAATTATTGGGAAGAAATAAACCACCAGGGGTAGATGGGTTACTAATAGAATTATTTCAAGCCACAGAGACAGGATCTAACTCTAACAAGAATATGTCAACAAACTTGGGAAACAAAACAACGGTCTACACAGACTGGAAAAGTTCAATATACATCAAAATCTTCAAGAATGAAGATGCTGAGGAGTGTGCACAGTAATTATAAGACAGTTGCTCTAATTTCCTATGCAATTAAGTGGTACTCAAGGTGATGCAACAAAGACTTCTATCTGATACAAGCAAGAAATGCTGGATGTTCAAGTTAGATTCCAAGAAGGAAAAAACATGGATGCATGCAAATTGCTATGCAAAGCAATTAAACCTCCTCCTGGCATTTTCCAAAGAGAGATCTCATTTCATGCTCACATGTACTACATGGATTTACTTGTATTTACTCTTTTTTATTTCCCTGTATAAGAAGCATTTACCACTAAAATGTGTAAAATGCATTTTTTTTTCTTCTTCGTCTTCCTATATAACTGAAATTCCCTTTACTATAAAGTTTTCTTGCATGTATTTTCTTTTTTTCTCTTGGAATTACTACTTTTAACCATATCTCATCTTCTGCCTCTCTTGAAATAAGTCTTTTTTTCTTAAAGTTTTGTATATTTTCCTATCCTTTAACTAAGTTTTATTGTTGTTATTGTTTTTGCTTTCCAATGAGGGGAGGTGTTAGCTCTTGATTGTTATAATTAATAGGTCAGTTTTCAGATGTGAATTATCTCTATCGTGTTATTTACTGTATTTCAAAAGAGAGGTTTCACTTCATTTAACTTCCTCTTTGTCTTTTAAAATAACTACTTGAAATATTTTCCCTGGTGTTTTTCCATAGACACAAAAAAAATGGGACAGGGACAGAAAAAAAGGAGTATTACGGAAAATGTTTCAAATGAAGTTAGTTTTTTTTAAATGATTTTTGTTTGCCTTGCCAAGTTTAAACCCATGAAGTCATAAATAGATACTAAATACAGAAAGGCCCCAAATGAATTGAACCTATTATATTTTATGTATAAAATACTACATCTTGAGAAACAATCTTTTCAATGTAATAAGTGTTTATAATAAATAAACACCAAATTGCACTAATGTCTTACAAGTTTATGGTTTGATAGGGGTTTTCACTTTATGTTATTTTAATTTTGTGCAAAAATACCCAGAAGGCTGAATTATTCCTTTACACTCTTCAGAGCCTTCTTTCTATAAACTAAGAACACTGGAAAACTATGCAGTCGAGTGTTCAAGCGAAAGTCTTGCTTGAGACCTTAAGAGCCCAGAGACTCTAGACACACAGCCCCTGGGGAGGTGAGAGGCCGGAGGGCAGCCCCCAAACACAGCCGAATGAGCGCAGCCAGAGTGTAAATAAGAAATAAGCTTTTGAGGTTTCTGAGAGAATATCTGGACTTACCTTCATTAATATACCCTAAACGATTAGCAAAATGTACAAGAGGAACATCATAATGCTGAAAGTTATATTGATGATAGCTTGCACAATATGAGACATAAAGATATCTCTACCACGTAAGTCAGTAAGTCTATTTCTTAGTGATGCATTATTGAAAAATAATTCAATGTAAGAAAGTTTTCAGATGAGTACAGAAGATCTCTGTATAGGCTTATATATTTTTTAAAAAGAGGAAACAACCTAAGTTTTCACCTCCTGATGGGTTTCCTACTGATGTCAGAATAAAATTAAAGATCTTTATTGTGACCTGCTAAGGCCTTGCCTACACTGCTTCATCTTGCCTCATTCTTCTTTGAATTTACTGTATCTTAGCCAGTGGCCTTCTGTTGGTGCCTCCGAGAAGTGCATCCCTTTCTACCACAGGGCCTTTGCCCATGATCTCTTCACTTAGAGCACGATGAGCTTCCCTAACCTTTCTTGCCTTTCAGCTGGCTTACCCTTAGCCTCCTAGCTGAAACTGTCATTTCCATAGGAAAGCTTCTGATAGGTCTGGTATTGCAGACCTACTTTCCCCTTGTAATGATCATAATTTTATTTGAAAAAATGTTTCTCGTCATTTATTTAATAGTTTTCTTTTTGCTAAATTTAAAGTTTTAGAAGGATAGAAGATATGTCTGCCTTGTTCAATGCTATTTTCTCCTGCTGCACGTGAGACACTTAGTTCACAGTCAGTAAATGCTTGTTGAAATAATATATCAGTCCCCGTCTTAATGCTCGTTGTTTCAAGAAACAAATGCTCTGTGAGGCTGGTGGAACCAAGAGCATCAACTTGTTCATTTTTAGGACTTTTTTCATCAAGATCTAAGGAATTTCACTTTCTTTGGCTTAGAAAGATATCTAGATATCTTTTCCCCCAAACGAATCATAGAAAAAAGGAAATACACTCTTATAAATGGTTCACATTTGCAAAAGAATAAAAAATTGTTATTATGTGACTGATCCAATGTAATCTTAGAGCTTATCTAAGTTTATTAAATGACCTCAGGATCTGTTTCCCAGATTAGCCTCTGTGATCTGCTGTTCCAGAAACAACATCATGTTCTTTTTAAAAAAAAATTTGACTCTAACCTTATGTCCTTTTATAGTATTTCCTAAGGAAGTTCATCTGTATTTACATCCACAATAGGAGCTTTTGAATATTCCATATTAAATGCATGTGTATGAGTCTGTATTTCCAGATTTGTGAAATTTTTAATAATAGAAATATAGGTTTTATATATGCTCTGTTTTTTTCATATAAACATTTTGAAAATCCTTAATTCCTACAAACAATCTTTACAGAAACTGCTCCCTGGTTTCTATTGCTGGGTTCATGTTAACTATAGTATGGTGCAGAACAAAGTTCATTGCTTTAATTGCAGTATACCTGACCCAAAATGCTATTGGGTTCACATCTGCAAAGTGTTCTCCTGGTATGTCTCAAAGAACACAGATCATTGCTCTTAACCTCTGCATTTCTCTTTACTTGAATCTCTGTTCTCATTTTAAAAAGACTTAAGGGCAGGAGAATATCAATTTCTCCATGAAGGTTGCATTGGATTAATGGCAGTAAAGGCATGATTTAAGGGATGATAGAAGACTCCTTGCTTGATTGACTCCACTGGCCTTTTTATCATTTGTCCTTTAGGCAATCCGTGCTTTGCACTTGAAGGGAGAAGAAAAGGAGTAGCGGCTACTATGACTATTGCCTTCTGAGCTCTCTTGATTTGGGGAGAAGTGTGCTGGCTAGAACTGGAGCCTCTCCTATGGCAGGGAAACACTGTGAAAGTCATGTTGAAGGATTGTTACAACCACAATTACAGAAAGGGCCTGTAACCATCGATTTAGTATCAGTTATGTGGCAGCTAGACCCACAGTTAGGTGATTCACAAAACAAGGTGTTGGAGAAGAGGACAGGACAGGATTCAGAGAGGGAAAAGCATAAAATATATTATTTGGGCAGCCAGATGAACAAAGGCAAAGATATTACAGTGGTCAGAGCAGGGGGTGTACTGGAGTTGTAAGCAGAAGAGTTTGGTGGGAATATAAGGGGTTAGTAAGAATGAGGCAAGCTTTGTAAGGGCCTTAAGTGACACAATGAGTCATGAAAGTTGTATGAATGTGGTATCGCTGTGATTGAAGATGTATTTTAAGAAGATAAATATAATATACATGTTTAAAGTGATTTAGGGAGAAAGAGACCAATTAAGAGGTTGATGTAATAACTAATGAGATTCTAGGAGAGAAGGGAGGCAGAGAGAAACAAAAGAGACAGATGGAAGTCATTGCTAAACATAACATAAATTAATTAATAGCTGTATGAGGTTAGACAGGGAAGAATAAGAGAAATTGAACAACGAGTTCAAGGTTCCTCCCAGGCTTCAAATGTGACTTACTAGTCAAATGAAACAGAGAATTAAGAGTTGGGGCTACTTTAGGAGTGGGGCAAAGGACAGAGAGAAAGAAAAGAATAGTTTACATTTTTATCATGCTGACAGCACTCTAATTAATATTTAGATTTTGCTGAAGTCCTAAAACTATAGAGAATTTTTTCCTGATCAATATCAATATTCTGGGATTTCCCTAATGTCCCCCCCAAATTATGTCTAACCCCATTGCAATCATGAAGCAAATATATTGCAATTGCTGGTTTACTTCCATCCACTCTGCAGTGTTCTCGAGGGCAATGGGAAAAATC